ACCATTGACTGAACCATTGACTTTTTGGAAAAATCTTACATTTTTTGTCAAAATGAAAACATTTTATGCAAGTGGTAGTGAAAATAATTTTTTATGCACAAAATGATTTTTGAGCTATTGTCATTCATTACTAAAGATCAAAGTGTTATACCTTTACATATAATCTAAGATGCATACTCTTTGATCTTGCTTCGAAGTTTCTTTGATGTTTAGCTCTTGAATTTCTTGTCTCGATTTTTCTTTGATATCGTCTCGTACGCTCTTCATTTTGATCTTTCTTTGCAGGCATCTTCCAAGCTCTAGTCTTGAATGATTTGACTTGAATGCTCAACTATGCTTGACTTTCATCTTAACTTCATTGAGCACATTTTGCAAAACTTTCGATAGCGATAACAATCTTTTCATCCTTAATTGATCAATTTGTTACAATAGCTATAACCACTCGAATATAATTGTTAGTAAATAAAATATTGAGAATTAAGTCAACCATAGGTCAATAGTATTTATGCTTCTCCTAGTCCCTATAATCACTGCTTCTTAATTATTCACATATCCATTGAAATTATGAACTTAAAAAACAAAAATAAAAAGATAACTCACACATTGGCAAAAGTCGACATCTACGACTCGACGCAATCGACAGCAGGTCACAACTAGCAGGTCGTTTGGCTTCGGATTGCGCAGCGAGAGACTAGGGAAAGGGTTTGGTTTGTCTTCTAAGTTCAATGTAATGTATTATGTGCGCTTAATTCGGCCATCACAATTCAAAGTAGCCATGGATGATATAAAAGGGCCTAATTAAAAAAAAGAAAAGAAAAACTCAAACAAATTGTCCACGATTAAAAGAAAAAATGAAACCAGCACTAATTTATTTAGCAAGCATCTGCAACACCCCATCGATTGCTGGCCTCGCCATTAATAAGAACATGATAACAACTGCACATTTAAATGCAACTAACATTGTTCTATTTAACGTGATGCACTAGTTTTAGCGAATGAACTAATTACAGTTGGTAGTACTTCCGTATGGGGATTGGGAAGAATGGAATAAACTCACAACTTTAAACTAATTACAGACACACAATCCATCCCTAAAACACATATCCCCATCATATTTATGCTTCTTCCGGTCCCCATAATCATGACTTCTTAATTACCCCTTGTTTGAGCCCCATTATATTAAATTCTATTACATTTCATTTTTTTCTCTCCTATTTTCAACCACACAATCTTCCATAAAATAATATTACACGTAAATCGAAAACTTTTCATTTTTTTTCAACCACTCATTTTTCAAAAAAATACTATTCCCCGCATTAATTTTTCTACGTAATGAGATCAAACGGGGGCTTATTCACATATGCATTGAAACTATAAACTAAAAAACCAAAACAAAAAAAGAAGATAACTCACACATTGCTGAAGGTCGATGTCAACAACTCAACACAGTCAGCTGCAATTCACAACTAGCAGATCACTTGGATGGATAGTATAAACGGGCCTAATTAAAAAAAGCCCAAGCAAATTACCCACAATTAAAAAAATTGGAACCAACACTATTTTATTTAACAAACGTCTGCACCACCTCACTGGGTGCTGGGTTCACCCCCTAAAAAAAACGTGATAACAACTATACATTTAGATGCAACCAACACTATTTTATTTAATGTAATGCATTAGTTATACCAAATGAACTAAAAACAGTCAGTAGTATGGCCGTCTGGGGATTGGGAAGAATAGAATAACTCCCACAACTTTAAACTAGTTACAGCCTCATAATACATCCCTAAAACACGTATCCCCATCTTATTTATACTTTTTCTAGTCCTGATAATCATAGCCCCATAATTATTCACATATCTATTGAAATTATAAACTAAAAAACCAAAACAAAAAAGTAGATAAGTCACACATTGGCGGAGTCGACTAGTCGACAACAGGTCTCAACTAGCAAGTCGCTTGGTGTCAGATTTTGTAGCGGGAGACTAGAGAGAGGGTCTGGTATGTCTTTTGAGTTCAATGTAATGTGTCGTGCGCGCTTAATCAGGCCATCACAATTTGAAGCAGCTATGGATAATATAAATGGGCCTAATTAAAAAAAGCCCAAAAAAATTACCCACAATTAAAAAAAAATAAAATTGAACTAGCATTCTTTTATTTAACGGGCGTTTCCACAACCTCGTTGGGGGCTAGCTTCGCACCCTAATAAGAACGTGATAACAACTACACATTTAGATGCAAACAACATTATTTTATTTAACGTAACGCACTAGTTATACCAAATGAACTAATTACCGTCAGTAGTATGGTCGTATGCGAATTGGGAAGAATAGAATTTACTCACCACAACTTTAAATTAGTTACAGTCTCACAGTCTATCCCCAAAACACATCCACATCGTATTTATGCTTCTTCCTATCCCCATAATCACAGCCTCTTAATCATTCATATATCCATTGAAATTATGAACTAAAATACCAAAATAAAAAAGAAAAAGACAACTCACACATTGCCGGAGGTCGAAGTCGGTGACTCAACGCAATCGACAACAGGTTGTTTGGCGTCAAATTGCGCAGCGAGAGACTGGAGAAAGGATTTGATTTGTCTTCTGAGTTCAATTTAATGTGTTGTGGGCACTTATTCAGGCCATCACAATTCAAAGCAGCCATGGATAATATAAATGGGCCTAATTAAAATAAGCTCAAGCAAATTACCACAATTAAATTTTTTTTAAACCAACACTATTTTATTTAACGGGTGTATGCGTCACCTCGACGGGTAGCTCCAGCCTCACAATCCATCCCCAAAACACATATTCCCGTAGTACTTATGCTTTTCCCAATCCCAATAATTATAGCCCTTAATTATTCACATATCCATTGAAATTTTGAACAAAAAAGAAGTAACTTACACATCGGCGGAGGTCGACGTTGACGACTCGGCACAACCGGTAACAGGTCACAATTAGCAGATCGCTTGGCATCGGATTTCACAGAAAGAGACTAAAGAGAGGATTTTTTTTTGTCTTATGAGTTCAATGTAATATGTTTTGCATGCTTAATCAGGCCATCACAATTCAAAGCAGCTATGGATGATATAAATGGATTTAATTAAAAAAGCTCAAAGAAAGTACCCACAGTTAAAAAAGAAAAAGGAACGAACACTATTTTATTTAACAGACATCTACACCACCTCGTCGGGTGTTTATTCCGCCCCTTTGTAAGAACATAGTAACAACTATACATTTAGATGCAAACAACACTATTTTATTTAATGTAATGCACTAGTTATAACTAATGAACTAATTATAGTTGGTAGTATGATCGTATGGGGATTGGGAAGAATATAATATACTCGTCACAACTTTAAACTAGTTACAGCCTTACAATCCATCCCCAAAACACATATCCCCATCGTATTAATGCTTTTCCTAGTCTCCATAATCACAGCCCCATAATCATTCACACATTCGTTGAAATTTTGAACTAAAAAACCAAAACAAAAAAAGAAATAACTCACACATTGGCAGAGGTCGATGTCGGTGCCGAATTGCACAATGGGAGACTGGAGAGACGGTTTGATTTGTCTTCTGAGTTCAATTTAATGTGTTGTGGGCATAATCAGGCCATCACAATTCAAAGTAGCTATGGATAATACAAATGGACCTAATTAAAATAATTCCAAGCAAATTGCCCACAATTAAAAAAAAAATAAAAATTGGAACCAACGCTATTTTATTTAACGGACGTTTGCACCATCTCGTCAGGTTCTGGCTCCACCTCCTAATAAAAATGTGATAACTATAACACATTTATATTCAACCAACACTATTTTATTTAACATAACACTATACCAAATGAACTAATTATAGTCGATAGTATGGCCGTACAAGGGATTGGGAAGAATAGAATAATCTCACCATAACTTTAAACTAATTACAGTCTCATCCCCCAACGACATATTACCATCGTATTTATGCTTCTCCCAATCTCCATAGTCATAGCCTCACAATCAACAATAAGGGTTTATGAATACAAAATAATGTCGTTCTATTAAACCTTTAGATAAGAATTAAATTTTCAACCACTCATTTATCATCATTTGAGATTTTATTTCCAAATGCAAAACTATTTACAAGTCAACTTAGTCAAATTCACTTTCTACAAGTATATCTACAATCATATTTACTTATAAAAATTTACCAAACTCAACTCAAATGACATAACGAAATTCATATTTGACAATTGCTTTAAAATTATGCCATTGTTTGATCCAGTTGTTTTGAAAATACTTTTTTTCTTTTTCATCTTTTTAAATACACATTTTCAATAAAATAATATTAAACGCAAACTCAAATATTTTCTTTATTTGTAAAATATATTCTTTATTAATTTATTATTACAAAATGCATTATTAACCTTTTAATGGGTCTCAAACAAGATATGTGTTGATCTAATTTTATTGGACTTACAATTTCTATATATTTTTCAATTACGCATGTCGTAAGATATAATATCAAAAATTTTGTCAAACATGAGCCAAATATAAATGCAACTTAAACTTGCTTGTAAATAGTTTTTGTCTAAATATGTTCGAACACACTATTTATTTTCAATTTTAACCAACAAAATATTATTTACTTTTAAAATTTTCTTATTTATTTATAAGTGAATTTTTTTTTTAAGTAACTTTTTTAGCTCGGTCAAAGTTGTCTACTATATATGGCTTTGTTTGATATTCATTTTTCCTAAAATACTTTTTTTTTTCTTTTTTCTTTTCAATTATATATTTTTCATCAAAATAATATTACACGCAGATTAAAAATTTTTCTTATTTTTAAACTACACATTTTTCATCAATCTATTATTTTAAAATGTATTTTAAAAAAGGCGGGGGATGGGGCTCAAACCCCAACACCCTCTGTATCTTGGGCCCAAAAAAAAAGAAAAAAGAAAAGAAGTGTCAGAATTATATATATATATATATATATATATATAAAAGGCACCAAATTGAGCAAGAAATCAAACCATTTCTAGGGCTTAATTATTCTCTGTCATTCCCGCTATTTCCTCTCTCCGTCTTCCTCCTCAGATTTTCACACACAGAAAAATCTATTTTCTTATCCGAATTTTAATTTATTATTATGTAGCTATTTAGGAGCCATGAAAAGGAGACCCTAGCGCTTGAATAAAACCCTAATTGGTTAATTTGTGTTCAATTCTACGACAACAGGCGTTAATTTTGGGTGATTTTGTGGGTTTTCTGAATTAGTGTAGAGAAGATTGGGAAATGGAGGGAATTCCGCATCCGATACCGAGAACTGTAGAGGAAGTCTTCAACGATTTCAAAGGCCGTCGAGCTGGTCTAATCAAGGCCCTCACCGTTGGTATGTCTTTTTAAGGAATTATAACATTGTTTTAATATACGTGTATGCATGTTATTAATACTTATTGATGGTTTTTCTGCCTGTAATTACCTGTCCATACATGTATGGATGTGTGGATTATCTATACACGAATCTATGCCTCTCAGTTATTCTCTGTCAGTGCATTTTTTTTGCTCTAAAAATTTGTTTCATGTAGGTGGTTCTTTTATTTCTGATGCACAACTTTGACTTTGGGTTGTTGCAGATGTTGAGAAGTTTTATCAGCAGTGCGATCCTGGTAAGTTCGTTGTTTTTTTTTCTGCAGAAAAAGTTGGGTCCAAATGCATATATATGTCCATTTTTTTCGTTTCTTTGTTAATTACTGTTGTGAATTAGAGCGTTTATTGCAGATTTTACTGCTAAATTTTAACTTTGATCATTATTTGTATATTCTACACATAGTTTTGTGTGCTTTCGATTGTTTTTCCTTGCTATTTGTTTCCAGGTTGGAAACTCATATGCTCCATTTTGCTGAAAGTGGAGTTCTGAATCTCTTGGAAAGTTTCAGTGGAGTTGTCTGCTTTAAATTTCAGTTGTCTTTTTACTACCAGTGTCTCTACGCCCTTTAATCTGTCAGCTGTTGTCCAGTGTAGTTTGGTTTTCAACAATTGAATGGTAGTACTCTACACCATGGGTAACTGTGAAATGTGACCAATTTAATAGTTTTCTCAAAAGCTTTGTAGCCCTTGGCACTGGAAATAAAATTTTTTGTCTACGTGGGTACCTTATCCATCAGTACCCTTTTCTGTTATGATTATCGATTATGTCATTATGGTTGGGTGACAATTCTTTTCTTTGGTGCTTGATTTCTTTACTAGTTTGACATTCTTTCATGAGTAATCGGAAAATATCTAAAGTTTATGATGCTTTTGGTTTCTCGACAATTTAGGCTATCATTAGACGTCTATTGAACATTTTTGAGTTAGGTTATTTCTGCTATCTCTTCCTGTAATATTTGAGTTTTTGCCTTCACGAGTTAGGCATGTGCCTTGTATAACATATTCATGAAAACATGAGAAATATTGATTTCGCAACTATAGCAATGCACTAGTCTCGATTAAAAAAGAAAAGTACATTCTCATGAATGAAACAAAATTCAAAGTTAGTAGGAAGTTTCACACCGGAAAAAAAATACTAATTGTATGCCTAGAAAAAGACTAGAATGAGTAAAATTCAATAAGCATCCATATCATCATCACTGGCAGGATGTCCTAAAGAGTCATCAACATATTTTATCTGTAAAATCCTCCTCGTTACTAATAATGTCCTGCCATTCCCCTTCTTCATCAACGTCTCTTATCAATTTTTTTGCAGAGTAATTTTCCTCACTGCACTTTGTAAGTCTTGGTTGCCCTTTGTTGTTTCGGCCTATTCGTCGTAAGATGAAATGCATTTCCCTAGCGGAAGACTATGCACTGACACCGCTTCTTTACCCAATTGGCAAAAGATCTTTCCTTAAGGTAGGGGTTAGCTATATAATATAAGTCTGACTCTTATAGATAGTTTTATAGGCCAATTGTCGAATATGAAGTACCTGGAAAAAATTACTGTTCATTTTTATAATATCATGCACGGTGGCCTATCCCAAAAGTAGGAGGATAGATGAGGCGATTCGGGTGAGATCCAATGTAGATCCTACTTTTGATTTACTTGTGGGATCTACCTATTGAAGTACAAAGGGGATGGTCTTCTGTGTGTGTATTCAATCAAGGGAAACCGAGAATGGAAAAATTCACTCCTTTCTCTTAAGCTGAGAATTTTTTCCCCCAAGTCTCGGCTCAAAAACAGTACCAAAAGCTAGAAGTAAATAAATAAGCTCAAGCACAATGTTAAATACCTTTAAGCTGATCTTTTAACTTGAGTCTAGTGTTTTTTTTTCAAGGATGTGCTATAAGCCACGGCACAGTTATCCCAGTCTTTCAAAAAAATGTTTGAGCCTACAATGATTGCTGTTAAAGCAGCAGAGAACCATTTGAAATTTGAAGAAAATAAATTCAAAACTTGCTAAACGATGTTATCTTCTTACTGGTCAATTTTGTCAGTGTTTAATCATTGATTTTTGAAAAATGAATGCTAAGCTAACAATAATGTTTTTTTGAATGAAAAAATGAATAAATTGTTGATTGGTATGCCTTTCTCCTTTACATTTTCTCATGGTTGAGCTATTATAAAACATTGGTTCTGATGTAGTAAATACAAAAATTATTTGGGTTGATTGTTGTTCTGACTGCATAGATTTATGTACAGAAAAGGAGAATCTGTGTCTGTATGGATTTCCAAATGAGACATGGGAAGTCAACCTGCCTGTTGAGGAGGTTCCTCCTGAACTACCTGAGCCAGCATTAGGAATAAACTTTGCTAGGGATGGCATGCAAGAAAAGGATTGGTTATCACTTGTTGCAGTTCACAGTGACTCGTGGCTACTTTCTGTTGCATTCTATTTTGGTGCACGCTTTGGATTTGGCAAGAGTGAAAGGTAATACTCTTGCCTTTTTGGTGAACTACTTTGGTGATGCAGAAATATATTTTTCAGATTTTTTTTTTTTAAGAATTTGGTTTATTAGTTCAGCTAGACATTTTGGTTATCTAATTGAGTCATTTTGTTTTTGTTATCCAATGTGTTCAAATGCTTTATAAAATTAATGATTTCTGTAGATTGTTATTTTGGTCTTCTTATTTCTTATCAGTCTATTGCATTGCTTGTGTCAATCCCTTTCCAACTGAAATTTTCACTCCTATTTATATCTTTAGATTATTTTAGAGTATTCCTTTCCCCTATTTAGATTGAAGTTAGCTGTAGCTATTGGTTATTGAATGCTCAAAGTGTATTATTATGTTCTTCTATTTGTGCTCTTGCGTGACCATCAGACCTTGTGTATGATTGCATCTTGAAACTTTCTTCTCTGACTTGCAATTAAAGTCTCTGGGTTATGCATACTTGCTTGTATTTATTGTTTCACTTAAATTTTACAAGCCATTGAGAAAACTTTCATGTGAAAAAGTCCTCTATTTTTTATTATTTTTTGCCTTGTTATACGTTTATTTTTTCATGTCAAACTCACTTTATTTGCGTATCTATGCATCCTGAAACTTTCTTCTCTGACTTGCAATTATTATCTCTGGGTTGTACTTGTTGTACTTGTTACTTCACTAAAATTTTACATGCCATTGAGAAATCTTTCATCTGACAAATTCCTCTAATTTTTATTATTCTTTGCCTCGTTATACATTTTTTTTTTCATGTCAAACTCACACCTAATTATGATGTCCAAACTTTTTTCCTTATATATGCTTGACCCGACCGGTCTACGATGAAATTGGTTGCTAGCTCCACATGTTATGGCTGTCCCATTTCCAACTTCATATGGAAACTTCCTATTTATAAAACAAAATTTGAGCGCAAAAGTTTTGCACTCTAGGGATTCTGGAAATTTTACGTTGTTGAGTTATTGTTGTTTTCTTGAAATGACATGTAACACAACAAGGTTTTACTTGCGATGGTAAAGAAAGATTGAAGATACATATTTAATTCAGTATATCAAGATCTCTTCTTATAATTCAGTGCTTTTGGAAACCCTTTTTATCTCTGACATCTCTTGATTTGGTAACCCTTTTTATCTCTGACATCTCTTGATCCTTTTCACACGTGTTCTGTAATTCAAGTTTGAAGTGTATTTCTCTTTATTGTAATATTCTTACTTTCAAGTTTTAAAAGTACACAAGAGACGTTTTTGAAGCATGAGCAAATTCTTCTGCCCATTATTCTTGTGAATCACATTGGATTACAGGAAAAATTGTGTTTTAATGTACTTGTAAAAAAATGTAGAGGAGGTCACTGACTTCTCTTGGAATATGTTTTGCTTCTGTTCTGCAGATAAAATTTAATGTTTATAGATTTTCATGTTCTTTTAAGTAGTGAGAGGAAATGATATGATTGCTTACAAGAAACGAAGTTGGCGTTCATCTCGAGGGCGGTTGTTAGCAGTTTATTGGGGGGGGGGTGGACAGCATGTTGGGTATCAATATATGGGGTCATCAGGAGCTTTAGGAGGTGTGTTAGTTATATGGGACACTAGAGTTCTTGAAATGGAGGAGGTCAGTGAAGGACTGTTCTCTATATCGCTTTCGTTCAGAAATGCAGGGGATGGATTCCGTTGGATGTTTATAGGAGTCTATAGGCTTAATGCTGATGAGAGTAGAGGTGGATTGTGGGATGAGTTGGTTGGTGGAATATTCCAACGTGCATTGGGGGTGATTTTAATCTAGTTTGGTTTCCTACAGAGAAGTCTATCGGCGGGATATTAACAGGGGCAATGGAGGATTTTTTAGAGTTTAGTAGGGAAAATATGTTGATAGACATGCCTTTGATTGGAGGAGACTTCACATGGTCATCTAATCGGGATCAACATGAATTATCTCGAATAGTTCGCTTTTTTATTAGTGGGGAGTGGGAGGCCAAATATGAGGAGATTGGAGAGGGTGTATTCTGATCATTTCCCTATTTTGTTATCGGGGAATGTGAGGTGTAGTGAAAGAAGGCCTTTTAGATTTGGGAAGATGTGACTCAAAGTAGATGGCTGTAGGGAGCAAGTACGGGATTGGTGGGCATCTTATGAATTCTAGGGGTCTCCCAGTTATGTGTTGGATCAAAAATTAAAAGCATTGAAGAGGGATCTAAAGAGGTGGAATGAGGAGGTGGTGGGTGATGTTAATTGGCGTAAAAATCAATGTATTCTAGAAATAGAAGAACTGGATAGGCACGAGGAGGGTCGAGGATTGGATGGGGAGGAGAGGGAGAGACGTGGAGTATTAAGAAAAGAGTTGGAGAGACTAGTGGAGATGGAAGACATTGCCTGACGCCAGAAATCTACGGTTACATGGTTGAAAGAGGGGGATAAATGCAACAAAATTTTCCATAGAGTTGCTAATTCTAATAGGGGCAACAACTCTATCACCTTGTTGGAGGTTGATGAGATTACTTATGAGGATTGCAGGATATTGGGAATCAGATGGTGAGATTCTATCAAAATCTCTATTGGGGGACAGTTTGACTGGAGACCAAAGGTAGATGGACATGACTTTTCTACTGTCACGGAGGAGGATGCTAGTTGGTTAGAGAGACCATTTGCAGAAGATGAAATCAAGGATGTGATTTTCAGTATGAATGAAGATAAGGCACCAGGACCAGATGGCTTCTCGTTCGCATTTTATAAGCCTTGTTAGGAGGTGGTGGGACCGAATATTATAGATGTTCTTACTTATTTTTTTGAATACGGCAGGTTCTGAGCAGTTCTAATGCTCCATTTATTGTGCTGATTCCATAGAAATCGGGACTAGTTGACGTTAAGGATTTTCGCCCTATTAGCTTAGTTAGTGGGGTGTACAAGATTATCGCGGAGATCCTGGCGAATAGATTGAAAGAGGTGTTGGGGAAAGTGGTGATTAAGAGTCGATGCTTTTCTGAAAGGAAGACATATTTTGGATTCTGTGCTTATAGAGAATGAATGTGTTGACTCTAGATTGCGTCTGGGTGTGTCAGGAATGTTATGTAAACTCGATATTCAGAAGGCTTGTGATCACGTGAATTGGGGGTTCCTTTTGTACATGCTCGGGCGATATGGATTTGGGGAAAAATGGTGCAAGTGGATTCAATTTTGTATCTCTATCATTTCATTCTCAATTTTGGTCGACGACAACTTGGAGGGTCATTTTCGAAGCAGTAGAAGTTTGAGACAAGGGGATCCCTCGTCTTCATTGTTGTTTGTGATTGTTATGGAAGCAATTAGTAAGATGCTTGAGAAAGCTGTGGAAGAAGGATTGCTAAGGGGCTTTACAGTTGGACACTTACTGGTTTCCCATTTGCTATTTGCAGATGATACACTGATCCTTTGCAATGCAGATAGTGAGCAATTTAGGAACTTTCGTCGGCTACTTCTATGCTTCGAAGTGGTGTCGAGATTGAAGATTAATTTAAGGAAATTTGAGGCCATTCCAATGGGAGAGGTTGCTAATGTGGATGAGTTAGCCGATATATTGGGTTGTAGGGTTATGCAGTTGCCCATGTCATACCTTGGGACTCCTTTTAGGGGCAAGGTTTAAAAGTAAACATATTCGGAATGGAATTGCCGAAAGGGTGGAGAAGCGGTTAGTGGGGTGAAAGCGTATATACTTTTTGAAGGGAGGCTGATCTTACTCTCATTAAATCTACTTTGTCTAATCTCCCAACTTATTTCTTGTCACTATTTCCTATCCCTGTTACAAAGTCAAACAGTTTAGAGAGGATTCAAATGGAGTTTCTTTTGGCAGGGCTAGGGGAAAGAGGAAATTTCATTTGGATAATTGGGGTGTGGTTTGTTTTTATGTTAGGATGGGGAGCCTTGTTCTATTTAATAAGGCTTTATTGGGCAAGTGGTTGTGGCGATTTGGAGTGTAGATGGACAGTCTTTGGAGACAAATCATAGGAGCGCAATATGGTGTGATGGAGGAGGGTTGGTGCTTAATCGAGGGTCGTGAATCTTATGGGGTGAGTTTGTGAAAGTATATCTGACGAGGATGGAATGACTTTTGAGAGAAATTGACTTATGTGGTGGGGAACTTTGATGTTCGGACTCTTCAAAATAGTTGGAGTACCCGTGTTGGACATGACACGACATGGGTATGGGTATGAGAAATGTGTCGGATCCTTCAAGTTTCAATCAAAAACTTCGTTGTTTTTGCTTCTTCTTCTTTCTTTTTTTTTTTTTTTTCATTTTCTTCTTTTTCGTTTCTACTTAATTCTCCACTAAGGTCAAATTGCAATCAAGTCAATTATTTGCTATTTTATATAACATTTAATGAAGTCCATAATTGAAAACTAAATCCCAAAATTCTATTTTATTCGTCTTAACTCCTTATTCAATACTCATTTTCTTCTTTGTGAATAATTGATTTTGTTTTATTCAAAATGACATCTTAAATTAGTAAAAAAATTGAAGTTTGAACGACGTATCTACGTACCCATGTCCGAAAATTGGACTCTTTTTAACCATGTCCTCAAATCCTGCATTTTAAAAAATAAAAGATCCGACACTTAAATATGTACTCACACCCGATGCTCGTACCTGTGTCCAAGCATTATAGGTGGGGAATGGCAATAGTATCAGATTTTGGGATGATTATTGGTGTGGAGATCATTTGCTAAAGGCACGGTTTCCTTCGTTGCATCGCATTGTTTTGAAGCCTTTCGCTATGGTGAATGATGTTTTAGCCATACATAATGAAAATTATAGCTGGAATATTGCTTTTGAGAGGGGTTTGCGAGATTGGGAACTGGATGATTATGCACTGTTTTTAACCTCTTTGCACGAAGCGTATATTCAGGTAGGAGAGGGTGATCGGAGCAGGTGGAAGTTGGCACGGGATGATATTTTCTCAGTTCGCACTTATTTTAGTTCCATATTGGGACCAACAGAGAGTTCTATCCCTGGAAGATGGTGTGGCAATGTAAACTACTTACAAGGGTGGCTTTCTTGTTATGGACGGTTGTGAGGGAGCAGGCGTTGACGGTGGATAATCTTTGAAGAATAAGTTTTTATGTTACTGAATGGTGTTTTATTTGCAAGAGAGACGGGGAAACGATTGACCATTTGTTTTTCCATTGTGACAGTGTTCGGTGGTTGTGGAATGCTATTCTAGCTTCCCAACATTTGGATTGGGTGATGCCTAGGTGTATGGAAGACGTGTTGCGGGCATGAAAGAGAAAATTTCGAGATGAGGATAGTAGGTTTGCGTGGAATCTTATTCCGAGATGCATTGTATGGTGTGTATGGAGATAAAGAAACAGCCGCTGCTTCAAAGACCAAGCAAGAATAACAGAGCAAATTAGAGAATTGTTTTATATGACTTTGTATACTTGGTTTAAGGCTGCAGCCACTAATCACATAAAAGGGCAGTCAAATTTTATGTAGTTTCTTTTTTGTTTAAAATTGATAATACACCTCCCATGTATTATACATTGATTAATAAAATTACTTGATTACTTTTCAGAAAAAAGAGAGGAACTGATGTGATTGCTAACTATCTAGGAGTTCATGCTATCATTTGATAGGGCAATTTTGTGAATTGGTAGTAACAGGTCTTGGTACGTGTGTGTGTCATTCCAACTGTTGTTACTGACAGTAAATGTTACATAGAGGACTTTCTTTCAATTTGATGAAATTGATTTGTGATCTAGGTATTTGACCATGCATCCTGCATACTTTAAGGATTGGGTTTCACTGATCTGGATTTTGATCTCTGTTCCGTTTGAAATCTTATAAAGTTTAGACTTCTTTCTGCCTCTAATCAACATGTTATTGGGTGTTAGCTTTCCATGTTTTGCCTGGAGATGGGGGGTCTTTCAGTGTCGGTATTTGTTGTCTATTTCTGATTCTAACTTTTATTGGAAATCGATTTTGGCAGGAAGAGGCTTTTCCAGATGATTAATGATGTACCAACTGTATTTGAAGTCGTGACAGGAGCTGTTAAGCCTGTCAAGGACCCGGCAGCTTCTCAAAATAACAGAAGCAAGAGCAAATCTGGCGGGAGAATGGTAAGCGTTGTTTCACATAAGTTCAGGATAGGGTCTTAGCTTTGAGCACGTCTGGCTAAGCTGAAAAATGTAATCTTATAAATGATTTAAAATAATAAAAAATTATTGATCAAAATTGAAAACAAGTATGCTGGCGGCCATTTTTGCTTAGAAAGAAAAACTAATTTATCTAACCACGTTCCTAAATAAAAGGTTACTCGAAATTAACTTTTGCTCACTTTTAAGCTTAGCTGAACATTCTCTTCATCACAAGTTATAATTATGTGCCACAATCTGTTTCTGCTTCTTCTAGCAGTCTCATCAGCCTGAGTCAGAGCACAAGGGAGTTAAGATTTCTGCACCCAAAGACGAGGAGGAGAGTGGAGAGGAGGAGGAGGAGGAGGAAGAAGAAGAAGAAGAAGAAGACGAACAGGGAGCAGTCTGTGGAGCTTGTGGAGACAACTATGGGGCTGATGAATTCTGGATTTGCTGTGACGTGTGCGAGAGATGGTTCCATGGAAAGTGTGTTAAGATTACACCTGCTAAAGCTGAACATATCAAGCAGTACAAGTGCCCCACCTGCAGTAACAAGAGGGCTAGAGTTTAATCTACCATTTTAGAAGTCGAAAGATCACGAATTGAAGGGGCTTGATTTTAGCTTATAAATTTGAATGTCTGCTGATGGGATCAAAATGTTGTGAATTTCTTCAGATTTCTATTAATCGAACTTTCTTGTATTTTAGGGATCTTCGTGAAGAAAAAAATTGTGCCTTCTGTTTTGAGTGTGATTTTTGAGACATTTTACCAGTAATGGTATTGTAGTTCTTCTATGGTTGTTAACATGCGTGTCTTGGGCACATCTCCACTCATTTACTTGTACATCCCCTCATTCGTTAATGGACTACCTCGGAACTCTTAGTAGACTCATATTTCCCATACATATTAGTGTGTGTATGCTTGCACCCAATCAGTACTCAATTTGTCTAATCAATGAGGGGTGGACGAAGGCATCGAGTTTCACTTTTCATTTCTGCATTTCGTCAGATAGCGTGCAAGTTGTCACATTGGGAATAGTAATTGAACACAGGTCTCAGGGGTCGGCTGGCCGTGTCAAAAATTGTTTACTACATATTGTATTAAACATGATCTGACAGTATGATAAATAATATTTTATGATTTTATCATACTAGTCTTTTGCCTGTGCAATGCACGGGTTATGTTATTTTTGAGGTAATATTAGCATATGAAAATATTGCATTGCAGTTGTCATATTGATACACTAAAGTGTCCACAAAGATTTGTAAGCACTTCAAACCATCAAAGAAGGTTGAGATAGTTGATTTCATAAAAATGTTGTTCAAAAATGAAGAAATTGATATCGTGGTCTCGATTATGAAATTTAAATAATCCTGCATGATGCATAGAGACCTACAGTGACAAAGGTCATCCCTTCACAATTAAAGCCTATTACTATTTGTTTTTCAGGCGAAGGCTCCAGAAATTCAGCAAGACGTTGACACGCACTGGATTGGAATAGAGACAATTGTTCTTCATTGTTGCAAGTTTTTTTTCGTACAAAAATCCCATAAACTAACCAAGGAAGTGCGAGGTAGAAGAGCCTTCCAAACAATTTTTTTGAGCTATTTTTTCAGATATTGTTTTATTCAATGCCAAAAATCCCTCCTCAGCATCATTAGAGTCACGTAAACATTTAATCTACATGAGCCATAACAATCAGGATATTTACCTCATCTGTCAAAAGTAAAAACATATGAAATTATAAGTTCAAGTCATGTACTAACCAATTGAAGAAACACCACACGTAATAGACAGAATGATAATGCTCTCTAGAGTTTAGATACACATACTTACACACACATGATACGGTGAAGTACAATTTTAGCTAATAGAGGCACTTGATTGCTAGTTTCAACAAGGTTGCACAAAATACAAAAGCATACATCAATATCCAACTATTTTTGGTCACATACACATAATTAAACAAACCCATATTATTGTACCAACGAAGCTGATATGTAGTAGTGTCAAAAAACTTCTGTTGGTCCTAATGATAAAAGATGATAAAGGAAAAAAAAAGACGTGACGTTAAAACACTGGAGGAAGCGTGGCAAAGTGATCACAACCATCCAACTGCACAAGTATTGACAAGAGCTTCTTGTAAGCATAGATAGTAAAATAATCTTTCAAAAAGTCACCGATACAAAATGAATAAACAATATAATAGGAAGAGCAACTGAAGAATAATCTTTCAAAAAGTCACCGATACAAAATGAATAAACAATATAATAGGAAGAGCAACTGAAGATACAAGTTACAACACTATGGAGGCTATAATGAATGTGTGTAAATTATAAATATAATACTCACATAGTTTTCTTGAAAGCAGTCGAGGTGCATAAGTTTAAGAAAGCTAGACCCATAAAACTCTCTCAACCAACCAGAGAATAAGCACATGTGCCCCTAATAAGCATAATGGGAAAATGTTAGTATTTGCTTCCTGCATGATGAACATGTAAACTATTTAGATATATCAGAATTGATGTGCTAAAATGATGGTAAGAGGGAAAAAAAATTACTTCTATAGTGCGAATAACGATACTATAACTTTTGCCTCTGGCAATATCAAGGGAGTGTGTCAATCATCATTCACCACTAATGCATTCACTGAAATTTGAACTAGAATTTAAGTAAAAACATGATACTATTTGCCACTGAAACATCATGACCTAAATTATGGAGAAAACATTTAATAAACAGAAATTGTACACACCTACATGTGAAAGAAGCAACTTTACAATTTGGTCAAGGCCTCTTTTTGCAGCATGATGTAAAGGAAGCCCTGTATGGCTGCCATTCAAAAAAGGAGGGGGAAAAAAAAAAAAAAGATAACTTATGAAGCAGGTTATAGCAGAAATGAGGAACATTTAGCAAACATTGATTAGGAAAATGCTTAAACTGATAATTAGATTTAATGATACACATACGAAATGAGAGGGGATACAACAAAAATTTGAATGTCTCAAAAAAGAAACGCCCTTAATAATAAAGAATTTTACTCAAAGGAGCAATCTAAAGAGAATTAGCTATATACATAGTCCACTTATTCAAGGCATAGCGATGAATTTTATCTCTATAGTGATGCAACACCAACGGGACAGTTAATTGCAAAATTAGAATAGATCTATGGGGAGGGGAAATTAGAGAGAAGAAGGGAAGAAAGAAACAGGAAGAGAGAAAAATGCTGTAAGCCACAAAATAATATTCATTCATCATCAACTGAAAATTATAATGTAAAATAGGTTTAAATAGTTAAGCAATCCTAACGAGCTTGGACCCGAGCCCATACAAGTCCAAATCTTAAATAATAGTTCAAAAGATAAATAAAGTATAAACGAAGTTTAAATAAAATAAGTCACGTCCGATGTCCTCATCAACTCTCTTGGGGTGGGAGAAAACTCGACCCTGTCGAGTGAATATCTCACTCTAGGCTGTCATCAATCTCCCAACCATAAGCTGAGTGGTTGGGCAAGTTTCTTCCGACGTCTGTAAAAATATGTCAATGAAGGTCTGAACTTGGTGTCCTCACCAACTCCCCTTGGGTGAACGGGAGGCGATCTAGGCCAAGGATGATCCTGTTGACTTCGATAAAACCCCAATAAATTTGGATCCAATTGCTGTAGTGTCTCTCTGGAGATTCATGTACAATCAGAATTTGGTCGACCAACCCAACGAACGAGGAAGCGCTGAACCTCTCCATCATTAGTAAACACAGTTTATTCATTTAAAATGACATCAATTTTATCTGTGTGTGCTGTGAGAGGTGGTAGTGGGTTCGAAGTGGCCAAGTAGTCGGGATCAAGGTCCACAAAAGGAGGTAACAAAGGGTCATCTGAGGGAATGAAATAACCTTTATAAGCTACTAGGTCCTCAACATTGAAAGTAGAATGGTAACCAAGATGTGGTGGAATATCTACAACATAAGCATTTGGACCAATTTGCTTTAAAATTTTAAAAGGACCAGCACTACGAGCTTGCAATTTGGAGGCGGGTCCATGTAGACGCCGCTCTGGCCTAATGCGGACCATAACGTAATCCCCAACGTGAAACTCAATATGTCGTTTATGCAAATCAGCTTGGAGTTTATATTGTGCATTACTAGCTTCAAGTTGTTTATTGATCTCAATATGCAAATCACGAAGATGTTGTGCAAATGCTTCGGCTGACACTGACGCTCTAGCCTGTGGGGACATAGGGATGAGATCTAACGGTTCCCTAGGCTTGTACCCATGAACGGCTTCAAATGGACTCATACCTAATGAACGATTTATGGAGCTATTATACGCAATTTGAGTTACAGGAAGGATCAAATCCCAATTTCGAAGATTTTCCTGGACCAAACAACGCAATAGGTTACCAAGACTTCTATTAACTACTTCAATTTGACCGTCAGTCTGAGGGTGGTAGGCCATGGAAAATTTTAATTTGGTACCCATCTGTTGCCACAAGGTCCTCCAAAAATCGCTAGTGAAACGAACATACTATCGGACATAATGGTCTTCGGAAGCCCATACAATTTAACAATCTCATTAAAGAACAACATAGTTACTTTAGACGCATATGAGGTTTTACTACAGGGGATAAAATGAGCCATTTTCGAAAAACGGTCGACAACCACAAAAATAGAATCATGTTTCTTTGGGGTGCGTGGAAGGCCTAATACAAAATCCATACTAACGTCTTGCCAAGGACAATTGGGGACGGGAAGAGGGGTGTATAGACCTGTGTTCTGCTTATTCTATTTACTTAATTGACAAGTGTTACAAGTACTAACAATCTTAGCCACGTCTTTCTTCAAGTTAGGCCAATAGAATTGACGATCAACTTCTTCTATGGTCTTATCACGTTCAAAATGACCGGATAACCCTCCAGCATGAATTTCCCACACTATGAAATCGAGAACTGAAGTTCGAGGGATGAACAATTTATTGATTCTAAAGAGATAACCCTCCTCAAGTCGGAAGCCATCTGTGGCGCCTGACTGTCCTCTTTGTAAATGAAGAAAGATATCTTTAAAATCGGGACATGCCTCGTAATCCTCCTTAAGCCTTTCAAAACCGATGACCTTGATACTCATGATCGACAAAAGGGAGACAAGACGACTTAATGCATCAGCTGCTTGGTTTTCCATGCCCTTCTTGTGTTTTAAAACAAACGAGTAGGCCTGCAAATATTCGACCCAACGACCATGCCTAGAACTTAATCGTTTCTGAGAGTTGAGGTAACGGAGGGCCTCATGATCCGAATAAAGGACAAATTCCTGGGGCAACAAATAGTGGCGCCAATAGCACAAAGCCTGGACCACCGCATACAGTTCCTTATCATAAGTTGAGTATCGTTGTTTGGCCTCATTTAACTTCTCACTGAAGTAGGCAATAGGGTGACGATCCTGACTCAAGACTCCGCCTATACCTACCCCGGAGGCATCGCATTCAACTTCAAAGACTTTGGAAAAGTCGGGAAGACGCATGACAGGAGCCTCCGTCATTCACTTCTTAACCAACTTAAAGGCTTTAGCCGCTTCTTGTGTCCAATTAAACTTCCCTTTCTTCATGTACTCCGTAATAGGCGCCATAATAGTGCTAAACCCCTTAATTAAGCGACGGTAAAATGTAGATAAGCCGTGAAAGCTCCTGACGTCATGAATAGTTTTAGGCTCAGGCCAGTCAATAATCGCCTGAACCTTAGCAGGGTCAGCAAAAACCCCTGTCGAAGAGACAATGAACCCCAGAAAAACGACTGTATCGGTGAAGAAAGAGCACTTCTTGACGTTAGCATATAGATTAG